TTACACGCCCACCACGGTGGCAGGTGGGTTGTTCAGATCTACCCGCCACTTCGTAATTTTACGCGCATTTGGCCAGTGGCGGGTGCTAATTTCCACCCCTGCCCACAGCTGATAGAAAAGTATATAAACAACAATAGTGATGACTGGACATTGTTTTTTTTTTCACTCAACCATCAGTGTTGTGTTGGTTGAAGCTTCTGTTTAGGAAAAACCTTCTTGTTAACGGTGATGATGGTAAAAAGACGTGATCATCAGATACATGCTCACACGTTCAGTAGCATCAAACCAGCTGCTCATCAAAGCTATTTATCTTGCAAATTTAACAACCTGCTTCAAATAAAATATCATTTTCAGCAAAATAACATGCAGAAGGAAGAGCTGCTCTGTGTCCTGCTCTCTCCTCCATGCTGCATTGCTTTTCATGAATAAACACGCCCACAAAGTTCTGACCAATCACACGCTGTGAGCTGCAAGGTCTGTGTTGCAGAGTTCTGACTGGGGGCAATGAGTGCTGTCACCGGGGAAAAGCAGCGGGACAGCAGATGGAAGTCCCACATATTTTGTCACTCAGCAGGGGAACAAGATATGTGACTCGAAATATAAACTAAAATTAAGTCCTTAAAGTCCTGCACTTTGTTTCTGCTGTTTGTCGTCTCACTGCTGTCTTGATATGCCTGATTTTTATTCAGTTCTTTGAAGTACTTTTATCTCCATCTCTCCAAGTTTTCTTGTCTGTTCACTGTTCCAACCACTGGACACAGTAGCTACGTTTACATGGACAAAAGTAATCGGACTAAACGGCCGTTCGGAATAAAAATGCGTCATGTAAACAGCCCGTTCGGATTATTCTGATCCGATTGAGCTCGATCCGAATGAATTTTTAATCCAAATGAAAAGGGTGGGTTATGCTGATTGATAATCGGAATGAGGTTCATGTAAACACTTAATCTGATCATCTTATTCTGATTGTAGAAAACTGACCTGTGTGCATGTCTGCTGACTTTATCCACACGGTTCTGCTCTTTAGAGGAGGCGGGACAGCAGAGCTGTAGTTTCCAGCTGCGCTGCGCTGCGCAGAACTTTTCCTCCACGTTCTCTAACAGATAAAAAAGGAGACAAACAGCAGACGTTGCTTTGCAAAAAATAAAAATAAAAAGCATGTATTGCTTCATCTGCAGCTCAACCGAGGAGTAACGACGTCTCTACCGTTATTAAAAGCTGACACGGGTCCGTCCTGAGGCACAGAGGAGCTTTGTTTATGTTTGTAACACGGAAATAGAGCTGACAGTTTACAGCACTGCGCATGTAAACACTTGTCACGGTCAGATTGTGTCCATGTAAACAGTACATTCGGATTATTTAATCCAAATACATTTCAATCCGATCAAAAAATTTTGTGCATGTAAACATAGCTACTGACACCTGCAAACAGTGGATTCCACACTTCTCCATTACTAATTTTTCTAACTCCCAACAAAACCATTGAATAATTGAGGCAAAAATCTCACTGTCACACTTAAACATTTCTATACCTCTGCTCCACAGTGGCTATGACCTCTACTCATGTTTCCCTTTGAATGTGCAAAACCTAAGATTCAGATCGATATTTGAGTGGTCATCCTGATTAATAAGACAAATCAAACTGTATCTCTGGAAGGACTCAATTTATTAGAATGATCTGGTATGAAAATGTAATTTTAAATACTGAAAATGTGTTTAGTTTTACTTGGCTAAATATAACTTAATCCTCAGTTGGACATCAAAACATTCAGCCAAATCATGAACACAATGCCAAGACTTTTAGTCTTTGAAGCTTTTATATTTTTTCAAAATATTTTACTTGAACTAAAATTATTTCCTATATAAATACACCAAAAACTCATTATTTTTTTTCAAAACCTTGATCTCGTTGAATTTGTTTTAACATACTTGTGTCTTTGTTTTCTTATTCTGCTTTTAGCTTCTAGGGATTGTTTAGTTTTATTGTAGGTACATTTATGCCCCTTCTATGTTTTAACTATAGTTTTGCTACTTTTAGTTCTTAGCCTCATTTCTGTTGTTTAGCTTCCTGACATCATTTTACTGCTTTTAGCTGCTGTTTGGCTAATAGCTTTAACTTCTTATTTTCGTATTACACTTCGGTTTTGTAAATTTGAGCTTTAGAATCGGATTTGTTGATATCAGCTACATTTTTGTTAATTTCAGCACGTTTTGCAATTTTTTTATTTTGCATGCTTAAACCTTTAACATCTGTTTTAACTTAAAGTTTCAGCAGTCATTCAGCACAGTAAAATAAAAGATAAAAACAAAAAAAGACTTCTATTCTGTAGCTGAAGGTGATGAATTTTCCTATGTGAGGAGCTTTCTCAGTCTCACTGTGGAGTTCCAAGCTTTTTAAACTGTGAGATGCTCTGTTTATGCTGCTAAATTCTCAGATTATTCTCACTCCCCTTTAATGGGAGAGGTGTGAGAATATTCTGATAATCAGAGTAACTAAGGACTGCTAAATGCCTCATCTATAGAACAAAAGTAACTTTTTTTTTGTCATATCCTAGATGAATGATAATCTACAGAAATCAACATTTCTCTTGTTTATTCTTTGCTCTTCTCTTCTGTTTCTCTGTAAAAGAGGCGTTCCTGTCTTACCTGCAGCACTACCAGCTGACTGTTCCAGTGCGGGTGGATGAGAACGGAGATTTCGTGAGTTATACTGTGAAGCACCAGCGGCTGGGCCGACGGAGGCGTGGGCTGACCGACCCCACGATGGGACCGTCCTCAGATCCTCCAGAATCACAGCTGTTCTACAAACTGTCGGCTTACGGGAAGCACTTTCATTTAAACTTGACTCTGAACCTTCACCTGGTGTCAAAACACTTCACAGTGGAGTACTGGGGCAAAGAGGGGCCTGAGTGGCATCACAACATGGTGGATAGCTGTCACTATGTGGGATTCCTGCAAAATCAGCGCAGCACCACCACAGTAGCACTGAGCAACTGCAAGGGTCTGGTGAGTACAAAGTGCCTCGAAATGACCTTTTCATCTACTAACAGTTCATTCAGTTGAAGGCCTAGCATTACACAAGTTACTGCCCACCACCTACACTCATTTCATCTTATACTGAGAAAAAACTGAGTTATAATGTTTTGTGACAAACCTTAAAAAAACATAATGCACAGTTTTATACAATTTCATTACAATATTACAACTTCTTGCATGATCTAAGGTTGTGAATACCTGTCATTTACTACCATAACTAATTCAGGGGATTCTGATGTTATCAGTCCATGAAATGGACATTATTAGGTGTTATCAGTCCCATACAATGGCTTCAGAGGGTCCCTACTGTGCCTTCTAGGCTTCAGACATCCCGATAGTGTCCCCTAGTTGGTTAATATATCAATGACAATGAATGTGTAAATAACCAAAAGAAATATTTTGTCTGTGCCGGTCTCAAGCCCTGGTCTCTTGCTCTCTGGTCCAACACTCTACCCATTGAAATGTTGGAAGGCCACAAAATACAACCATTGGAGGGCGGTGTCTTTAGTGCTAACCATGTCATTTGCTCTAAAGTTAATCTTAGTGGCTTTAAGGCCTCATATTATTCAGTTTTGTAATGCCTCATGTTAACCAGATAATGGTTTTATGCCTCATATTAACCGGATGGTGGTTTTATGCCTCACATTAACCAGATAGTGGTTTTATGTCTCATATTAACCAGATAATGGTTTTATGCCTCATAYTAACCAGATARTGGTTTTATGYCTCATAYTAACCAGATAGTGGTTTTATGYCTCATWYTAACCAGATARTGGTTTTAWGCCTCATATTAACCAGATARTGGTTTTATGCCTCATAYTAACCAGATAGTGGTTTTATGCCTCATTCTAACCAGATAGTGGTTTTAAGCCTCATATTAACCAGATAGTGGTTTTATGACTCATATTAACCAGACAGTGGTTTTATGACTCATATTAACCAGATAGTGGTTTTATGACTCATATTAACCAGACAGTGGTTTTATGCCTCATATTAACCAGATAGTGGCTTTATGTCTCATAATAAGCAGCTGACAATCGGAAGCCATTCTATGGGGATGATAACATCTGAAGCGGGTGCCTAATTTTAGCTCAATATTTGTTAAGAGTTGTAGCCGTTTTTGCAGGTTTAATGCTGCGTTCAGACTGAACGTGTTTTGTGCATCAAAAACGTGTTCAGTGCCTCAAGTTAGACATTTGTGCACTTTGAGGTCAGACGCTTGTCAAAGTCGCTCTAGACGTGCATCAAGATGTGCATTGGGAGAAGCCTCTTGGCTGTTTAAATTGTAACTAAGCTACAGAACTGAGGTCCAGTTACTTCATCATTGTTGCTTTCATTTTCCATGTCCTGGTTGACTGAGAATTTGCAGAAACATTTGATAGTCTTCTTTCACAGACTGTATCAATCTTAAAGTTCAAAACTTTACGTTCAGCTCATTGCTTCGTTCCAAAAAAATAAAAAAGCTTCTCTGGAGTATCCAGTCAGATGCAGCTTAAGAATCAAAATGCAACAAGTAGTAAGTTTAGCTAATTCTGTAAACAAACAGCTGACTGAATTTATCTTTAGCATGCGGGTCACAGCAGTGCCGTGTAAAGTTCACACTAGCTGCGTTTCCATTGACCATGAAAATGCGCAAATTAGAATTTCAAAAATAAATTTGCTCAATAGAAACACGTCAAAAAAATTGACGTTTTTCGACAAAATGTTTTTGCGCTAGGATGAGGTGGTTTTTCGGCCGTATCGAAATTGGTGTTTTTCGCAAAACTGCAATGGAAACATTTTTTTTGCATCACGGGAGTCACGTGATCAACAACCGGCTGTTTCTACTGGTGAAAAAGACGATGATGAAGAAGATAACAGGAAGTAGTAGTAATATCACAGAAGTAGTATAAAATAGTAAACTCACCGACTACAATTTCCCAAAAACACAGCATACGTAGCCGCTCCCAAGTAGGGACTTGTCTCTGGAAAGCCTCGATAAAAGACGCCGACGTCTCCTCTGATGATGAGCGCTAGTGTCGTGGTAGCAACATGCTATGTGTTTACATCCATCGCCGCCATGTTCTTACTTAATGGAAACACTGCAGTTGTGAAACTGTGTTTTTCGACATTAACAGAATATCGACAAAGTTTTGCGCACATTTGCAATGGAAACATACCTAGTGATACAGGTTGCATTTAAAATGTAATGTTCATGCCAAAATATCAAATTTAAAAATATAAATCTGAATTGAGCATTAAGACCTGCAGTGTGAACATATATTGTGTAGCTGCAGGAGTGGGACCATGGGTGATTCTAAACTGGGGCGAACAGGGGGCAGTGCCCCTGTCAAACTGCTCCAGGTCCCTGTTTTACTTTAATAATAAAATAAAAATCTAGGTATTGCTTCTGCCTTGTGTGCCCCATGAAAAAACACTGGCCCCACCTTCTCCCCCAGATAAACCTGGTCTAGAACTGCTACAAAGTAAAACAACTATTTAAATTTCAGCAGGGAGAGTGACACTTGGTATTATAATCATAGATAAGGAGGATAGTGTGAAATAGACTTGAATTAAAACTGTGTGTACCTTTAAATAATAATCATGCTTGTTGGTGTTAAAAAAAATCAAACTTCTGTCCTTTGAGTATTTATCTGTGAACACAGAGTCTGTCTGTCTACTAATGTTCAGGGTTCACAGATGAGAGAGGTTCACAGCCTTATTAGGAAAAGGGACAAAAGCTGAAAACTTCTAAAATACTATATTTCTAATTAGATATGCCACACAAAGCTGGCTCATGAGAGCTTTTGTGTGCACACCTTCCCAAGCAGAGCCTACCTGCGTTGACAGTCAATGCTGGGGAATAGACTAGACTAGACTAGACTAGACTAGACTAGACTAGACTAGACTAGACTAGAATAGAATAGAATAGAATAGAATAGAATAGAATAGAAAAGAAATAGCCTTTATTGTCCCACCGAGGGGAAATTCAGGTTCACACACTAGTTACTTTATAAACAATAGATAGTACACAAAACAAAAATTAACACTGAGTAGCAATAATATGACTACAAATAATAAAAATATAATATAAAGAATTGTGCAAGAATGGAAAACTATATGTTTTGTTTTAGAGACAGTAGACAATCAGAATCCAAGATCAGGAATCAGAATTTGCCTGTTTTCAGTGCAAAACAATCTTAACAGACCAGTAACTGTAAAGTGAAGAATCACAATACAGACAAGAAACACAGATATGAAATTTCAGCAGGGTTTTTAAAGGTTTAAACTGGGTAATAACAGAGCAGCTGATTGCTCAGATTAGTAATAATATAAATAAGTTGTAGTGCAAATGATTGTTCAGTTGAGTAATGACAATGAACAGTAACAGTACAAATGATTGTGCAGCAACAGTTGTGTAAACACCTTATTGTGATTTATGGGCGTGGTTATAGAGTCTGACAGCTGCTGGGAGGAAGGATCTATGATAACGCTCTTTTGTGCACCTTGGATGCAGATGAAGGAGCTCTCAGTTCAGTCACAGCTTCATGCATGGGTGCCTTGTTTAACTAAAACTCTGTGTTAATGCAGAGTTTTAAAGGGGCAATATCATGTAAAATCAACTTTTTTGAGTTTTATATCATGTTATAATGTTATACTCTCATAAAAAACATGTCCAAAGCCTTGCTCTGACTCATTCATGCATGTTTGAGAAATCCTGCAACGTTTTTAGGAAGCCATGCTGAGGAGCAAAACAACAGGGGGGGGACCAGAAACACCTTTTGTTACCAGAAACACCTCTGGGATGTGTCTTTAAGCTGAACATCCTCATGGCAGAGCACACCCCCTCCCCCCTCCCCACACACCCTGCCCATGACTCCCGCAGGCTCTCAAGTGAAAGTGAAACCTAACTGTCTGCTGAGCTCTCAACATTATTTCTCACTCAGTGAAGCTCTTTTCAGATTCAAAATACCTTTGTGGAAATGTATTTTCAGATGCCAAGTAAACTGCATTGTAGCAACATTCAAATATCTTTTTTCTTTTGATTTTCATGTGTTTGACCTGATTGGATAGATTAGAGTCCACACTTTCAGATTCTGTAAATAACTAAAAAAGCCCCCAGTTCCTAGTTTTATTGTGGCCAGTCACTTTTATTTATTTATTTTTTTACATCTTAGAGCCTGTAGAATGTAAAAAACCCCAATAAATAAAAATAAGTAATCACCTCCCAGACTGCTCTGATGCTGGAAATAAGTTCTCCAGCTCTACCATTCCTCCTTTCCCTGCTCTTCTGTGCTGCAGGCGCTGTTTCTGTTTCTGTCTGTTATATGTATGTTTTCTGAAAATCATGGATCTTTGAGGGTCATGATACAGGTAAACGATTGATGGGGCTGTGATATATGGATTTGTTTCTTTTTATGAAGTATCAGCCCTTCTCAAAATCTTGCCAGTGCTCTGTGTCATAAACTACAAGCTATGGTAGCTATTTGAATGTTTGACCTAAAATATAAAGATAATGAACAACAAATCTGTTTTCTGCATGTTTTTGTTTTTGTGTGATCTCCTGAGGACAGGTCTGGAGGACAGCTCTGGAAGCCTCATTAATGTCACCTGACTGATCCAAAGTTTGCTGTATAAATAATCAAATCATTTTTATTATCCCCTAGACTTATCAGTAAAATCAGGTCTACTGATGTTTAAACTGAGAGACATAAAGGACTCACCACACACATCCTTCTACATCAAACTGAGAACTTCTATTCATTTTTGTCACTAAGTTTATACCTAACATAGACATTTTCCCTAACTCTAACCATTACTAGTCTATTCTTAGCTCTAACCATTACTAGTCTATTCCTAACTCTAACTATTACAAGTCTATTCCTCACTCTAACCATTACTAGTCTATTCCTAACTCTAACTATTACAAGTCTATTCCTCACTCTAACCATTACTAGTCTATTCCTAACTCTTTCCATTACTACTCTATT